ACGCTTTATGATCTTATGATCTTTACCCCCTCAAAACCTGGGCTTCCTGTAACATTCTTCCTTCTATTGAGGATCACCCCCATGCATCCATGTATGCATATCTGTGTATTCCTTACACCTCCTTCACCCCATCTGTCATCCAGTCCTGTTGATTTTCCTGTCTTGAAATATCTTAACAACCCATTTCTCTGCTGTCAGTCCCCTGGCTCAATCAGTCATTTCCTAACTTGGACTGTAACAGTTCTAACTGGTCTCCTCGTATACGTCCTTATGCTAATCACATTCATTCTCCACGGTGAGTGCAGCCCGAGTGATGTTTCTGAAGCTTCAGATTCAACGATATTACACCTTTCATTAAAACAGTCAGCTTCCTATTGCTCTTAGGCAGCATCCATGGGTAGGACAGAGACAAAAATCCTTAATATAATTTGTGAAGCCCCGAAAGACCAAGTTCCTGTTGACTTCTCCACCCTCACCTTTGGCCACTTCCTATTGTTTTTCTGTCTCTCCCTCTTCCTTTTTGCCTCAGCTCAGTGGTTATTTCCTTACCCCAGGAACGCCTCTGATGTTCTTGAGATGGTCAGATCGCCACCCTGTATGCTCTCCCGGTGCCACATGCATGTTGTTCCAACGCTCCCAGTTTTACATTCTCATGTGCCTTTTTTCTCTCTAGCTCAAAGCCCCCAAGAGACTGTGGATCTTGTTGCTTCTACTTATCATTTGCCAGTGCTTAACACAGTACCTGGCTTATACACTTCATTTCTTCAAAGCTTGAGATGTCACCTTTATTTTTCTTTTACTAAAGAAAAAAAAAAGGAAAGTAACCAATGAAAGATAAGCTCACAATAAATTATTGAAAGAATTTTCTATAAAAGCTGAATTAACTTAAACTGCTACATTTTCTCCCAGCCCGCTGTCTTTCCTTGATGATAAAAGAATGTTATTTAAGAAAAATACTCTAGAGTTTATTTCTAGACTCTGATACTTCATGAAAATAATTGGCACTTAATCCTGGTTCCATTATTCAAAAAAGATTAAGAAATTAGATTTGTTTCTAACTTTGGAAATAAAATGTTCACGCTAGTTTTGATTGGGCTTTAAGTGCGTTTGATGACTTTCTGAACTCCTGAGCGATGCTGATTTGTTATATCTCTGGTAAGGATATTGAGTGATAATTTGAGTTTAAGAACAAGAATTTTAAAATTTAGGGCAATGTGTAGTGGCTCTTTACTTGTTTGTCTAGCTCTTCATTTCATTAATTTACTGTTTCTTTCTCTCTCATATTTTTGTTTCCTGTAGGAAGATACCCATTGTCAGCACTTCTGTTTCTGTTCCTAAGTTCATGAGGTTCTCTGCACCGTCCTTATAAGGGGTCCAAGAGGTTGTTTCCATAACATTTAATTTTTGTCTTGACTCAGTTTATGTTTTGTACTAGAGAAATTTAGAATGGAAAAACTCAGTTTGCCATTTAACATTGTGTTTCTCAAAGAAACCTTTAAAAATCTATTTTTTTTAACACCCCCCCCCTTTTTTTTTTTGTAATTTCAAGGCCTGTTTTGCTAGGTTCTGAATAATAAACACTCCTGGTAGCCTGGCATTTGGTAGCTGGAATAAACTAATCACTTCAGCCTTTTGCAATCACTTAAAATACTCATTAACTCTGAGTCATTGTTTTGAAATAAGGTACATTATAGCTTTTTTGTTTTTCTTGCTTGAATTGCCCAACATTCTTTAGAACAGCTTTGTGGCAGTTGTGAGCTTAGCATACATTCTTATTCCGAAAATTGAGTGGTGCCAAAGCACATTGCTGGACAACGAACTATTCCCATGCAATCAAATTGGTAGTAAGATGTCCTTTTGTAGAGCAAAAAGTACACCCAAGTATAGACCTGTTTTTCTTCTTGCTGAGATTCTGATAAGTTTACTTTGAAAAAAATATATAGGTCTGAATTAATAGAGAACTAATTACTTCCAGCATCTTAAAAACTTATAAACATGTTTCTTGGCTAAAGATGGAAGTGCATTTCTCTATTTTTGAAATTAAATTTATATAGTCCTTTGAAAGCAGAGAGTAATCTTCATATTTATTTGAGTCACTATTATCACATTAATTAAAAAATATATAAAATAGCTTATTAAAATGCTTGCTAAAATTTCTAGTTTTTAATTATAAGGACTCAGTAATTTTTTCACAAATTTTTAACATTTAAAAAATGTAGTCTACTATTTTTAAGTTGGTGGCAGATACTATACATATTCTAATATAAGCTTTTTCTTCATGGAAAATGTGACTTAATAATGAACTCTTGTGTTTTTCAATATTGTCTTTAAGAAGTGATGAAAAACGATCTTGTAATGGCTATCGGGTTTTTAAAAATAATCAGCTTTGATTCCACTTTTCGAATGAACCAGAGCTTTGATATTTTAGTTGTACAATTCAGTGCATTAAAGACAAAAACAAACCAGTAATCACCCCCTAACAGTCACTTTCTTTGTTCTCCGAACTCTTTGTGTTGGTGGTGAATCAAGACACATTTTATGCATGTTTTCCTATTAAGTAGTCTAAATTCTGAAACCTTTGTTTAAATATATTCATCTTCCTATAATGCAGTTTCTTAATAGGGCTGTAGCATATCGGTATTGGCAGATTTAGATTTCCTTTCTCACTTAGTTTACTAAATAGTCAGGTTACCTATAATGAAGAGGAGATGACCCTAAAGGATTTAACACCTTTTGTATATTCTTGGAAACATTTTCAATTGTTGCGACCTCCACCAGGAGTGAAGATATTTATGTGTAAATTCTGTCGTGATCACTTTTTGGTGCGAAACTGGATATTATTTATTGACTATGCTTTGGGCTTCATTTTATTTTCTATTTAAGCGTGACTTCTTGATAGGAAAAGGGGGATCAAATTTATGTAAATTGGTTTTTTATTTCTCACCTCTGTAAATCAGTAGTTTTTGTAAAGCCCACCCCTAATATAAGGACGTGTTTTGAGTGTGCAGATGTGAAAGGTTTTTTTAGATAATTCTCAACATTTCATTGCAAATCACAGAATGGTGAGGATGTTTCTAAACTTTCATCTGTAACATGCTTCATTATTTTTTAAGATCTTGGCTAAACTCTCTGACAACAATATGAATCCGATTCCATGGCCATGTTATTTTGACATTTATTTTTTATGGCTATCAGAGGTGGTTCATAAAGATACATAGACTCAAATGGCCATGATACTAAGATTGTAATACTATCCAGTAGTTATGCAGAGGTTTTGGTGGTACTTGGCTAGTCCCTAGTAGTCTGTCCTTGCACCTGATGGAAGGATTTTTAATTTCCATCATTTTAAGAAATGGATTAGAAACCTGATGTACTTCTTCTGGAAGATTTTGAAAACGGGTAAAAAGTTTTGTTTCTTAACTTTGGGTGTACACTTAAACGAGAGGTTTTAAGAAATTACTCCGTTAACATTTTTAGTCCAAATCACAAAATGATATAGCTGTTTTGAAACATCCATCTTCAAAATTCCCGTAGAAATTACTCTAGAAAAGCAGCTGTTCTCTCGTAAACTGTGAGAACATTCCCTGTACATCGAAAGTACAGGTTCACTGTGTTTATTATTTTGAAGATTCTGCTTGGTGGCTTAACCTCTTGTCATCACAGAAAAGCGTAGCAAAATTTGAATGTTCTTCTTTCCATAAAAAAAAAAATCCATAGCCCATCTTTTAAGTTCAACAATTCTTTTAAGTTCTTTACAATAGACAGTTAGCAAGGTGAATAGAGGAATTAGCCATTCCCTCTCATTAAAAATACCCTCATGATCTTTTTACTTTACGGTCTTTTTTTTTTTTTTAATAAAATTAACCACATTGATGATATCTTGGAGCATTTAGTTCACACTTCTTATTTCAACTTATTTGCTGCAATAACTTGCCTGTGACTGAATGACTCATTGATTTTCACATGAGTTGCTGTCTCTGAATTATCTGAAAATCCTTTTTCTAGTTAAAGCAGCTGCTCCATCAAAAGTTACACATACAATTTATAAAAGAAGAAATTTGCTGTTGAGATTACATCTTCTCCGGTAAAACTTTAATTCTTTATGTACACAAACATACAATATTTTATTTTGAAAACAGAATTTAACACTTACCATAGACTGAGACATGCAAGAAGTGTGTCTTCTTTTTATCATATACCCAACCTTTGGGACTACATAGTTTGCTCTAATACTTCTTTCTTCAAACATTATGCAATCTTCCCTGTAATTCTTCTGACAGTATTTACTGATTAAGGATTGCATTTTAGTTTTTCACTGTTTTTTTTTTTAAATCATTTACCCAATTTTTGCCATACAAGGAAGAGCAAGTATTTTCCCAATATAACTTACGTGGTAGTAATATTTAGTGAGTGTTGAAAAGTGTTGAACGAACTGGATTGATTATTGCATGGCTTTAACATATCTTTAAAAAATTTAGATGTTTGTCTTTATGTTGTGGATGTTTAATTGTTAGATGTCTTGCTAATAGTGATGGCTTCATATTCTCATTGATTATTATAGCACAGTGTATGTTTAGGATTATGATTGTTTTTAGTAGTGAACATAAATTTATATTTCAGATGAATTCTTGATAGTTTTGCGGGGGTTCTGTTTTCGTAGATCTGATTAGTAGGTGTGTTTATCAACTGTTGTGGTTAGTAGTTGGAACTACCACCGAGGAAACCTTAACTGGAACACAGCTTGAAGACTGTCTCTGACCACGGGATGCACTGAGGGTGCCAGTGTCAGTTTACATATTACATGTCAGCACAGCTCAGTGTCTTTCTTAACTTTTTAAGATGAAAAATTGTTTTAAATATATTTTCTTCCTACACCAAATAGATTGTCTTTTATACCCCGTTTTGGAGTTTACTGGTTTAAAGTATGGTTTTAAAAATTGGCGTTTTCTCTCTCATAGTCCCTCAAAATGAAGATAATTTGCGTGTCCATTAAAATGAATTCCAGCCTCATCTAACAGTTCATGATTTTTTCCACAAGCTTAATTCTCTCAGATGTTTTTCATTTCCGAGGTTATTGAACTCTTTCTGGATCAAACCATTGTGTAATTTTAGATACATATTAAAGCAAAGTTTGACGAAAGTAATAATACTATGTCCATGATACTTTGATAGCTAGATACTATAATTAGGACTGTCCATGAATAAAATAAACAATCTATATTTAACTTTGCCCTTTTTTAGGGGAGGAGACCATTTGTTTAATTAGAAATACTCTTTGTGAATTAACATATAATTTGTTTACCTCCACTTTGAAGCAGCATGTTTATTTTCTTATGGGATTTTTAACTTCCTTTTTTTTTTGGTCAAAACTATTTTTGAGCATGCTGACATTTTCTTGAGACTGATTTAATGTGTAGACATGTAAAGAAAATAACTACATTAGGCTCAGAAATACTTTAAAACACTCAGGATTTGAGAGATCCTGCAAGTTTAAAATAGATTTAATGTTCCTGCACATTTTTCAGTTTGAATTTTAATGCTTATTTTCTGTTATTGATGTGTCTTAGAACTTATAGGGGATAATAAATTCTTCTGGGATATTTTCTAATTTATACTTTTTATTTTCTCCAATTTTTACTTAATATTTTAGTAAGTAGGAAAAGATTTATTTATTTATTTTTTTGCAGTAACAGTGATGTTACCGTGATTTCTAGTTTTTTGGAGGTAATGGTTATAGATAAGTGCACACTGTGTAAGAAAAATAAGTATCAGTTTGTGAAATGGACCGTAGTATGGGATGAATTAAGAAGTTTGAAAAATTAGCTTTCATTTTAGTCGTTACCTCTGATGACTAAAAGTGTGTGTGTATTTTACACACATACAGTCTAGATCTAATTATGTTTATACATATGCATATACATGTATTTGTGTAAGCACACAAACACATGCACACACACACATGTATACATGTGTATAAACACTTTGTTGATCCCTGACTAGAAAGGAGCATCGTAGATCAAACAGCTGTCATTCTGGGTTGCATTTGTAGATGGTGGGCTTGTTACAGAGCTAAGCGGTCAGGAGGCCACAGGGGTGGTCACAGAGGGGTGACTAAACACAGGGTAGGCCTGGGGAGGAAACTGCTGTCTTTTTCTTCCTTCATCTTAGTGGTCATCAGCCTGCTTTTGCTGAAATGTTTTATTTTCTTCTTTGAGAAGCTTCTGTTAGTAGTATTGCTGTTTCCAGAAAGGAAGGGAATGACAAAGGCAAATTAAAATTCTGTCTTGGAGGGGAGAAATTGCAAGTGCCTTGATCTCATCTGTTCTATCTAGTGGACTTTAAAAAAAAATTGGTTTAGGGCTGATTTACGGTATTTATTTCAGGTCTACCACATGGTGGTTCAGTATTTTTATAGATTATACTCCCTTTATAGTTACTATAAAATATTGGCTATATTCCCTGTGCTGTACAGTATATCCTGGTAGCTTATTTATTTTATACCTAGTAGTTTGTAACTCTTAATCCACTACTCTCTTGCCCCTCGATTTACTTAGTGGATTTTTGATGGAATGTTTTTAAAGAGTCCCTTTCTGCATTTTGCTACCTTTAACAAACAAATCAAACAGTATTTCATTTGTAATATTATTATATTTTCATTATAAGTAAGGGAGAATATTTCTTTACTGGTGTAATATAGTCACTGGGTGTGTCTGGAAGATGGCCTGAGAGTGTCGGATGTGTTCGGATGTCCTGGGTTTCTTTTCTGTCATATGGCTACCGTATGGCTAGTTTCCATTAGCCATTATACCCAGGTACTGTTTTAGAGCCTGAATCCCAAGTCTTCAGGAAATCTTATTTATTGAGATCTTTTCTTTCTTTTTTTTTTTTTTTAGATTAGGGCCATCAGAATTGAGGGAGCTCCTCCATGGTAGAGGGGAAATGGGAAGAGGGGGTGCTTATCATTCAGCATCAATTTCTAGTGCCCCCAAAGATTCCCAAGCACACTAAGAAAACTTTTTTAAAAATAGGGTAGGTGCTGAAGTTCACATTACTCAAGGGATAATAAGATCAAGTTACACATTTCTCTAGGGACAATACAGATCAGCTAAAACATTTCGGAAATAATTTTGGGGCATGGGATATGTTTTA